TATTCTGCCTCAGCTCAAGCCTGAGGAATGTGGCTAGCCATTTATAAACTGAGATCTGTGAAACCATGAGCCCCCAAATAAACTTCCCCTCCTCTAATTGTGCTTGTCATGTCTTTTGGTCACAGCAGCAAAAAGCTGAGTACAACAGTGATTACCAGGTCCTCACCATATTTTTATGTTACACCTCAATAAAACATTGAAAAAGAAAAACTCTCTGTGCCAGTCAGGATTTCAACACATAGTTGACTCTCTCTCTCTCTCTCTCTCTCTCTCTCTCTCTCTCTCACACACACACACACACACACACACACACACACGTTTTTGGAGGTGTATAGGCCATGCACGGAATCAAAAGAAAGCCTGGAGCTAGAAGAAGAAGCTAGGGCATGGTTAACATGCTGCCACCAAGAAAGTTTGCTTAGGATGCCACTGTTGACCTTAACATCACTGGACACTTGAAACCACTCTGGTAATTGAAACTTCAACTCTACAGGGTCTCATATAATAAATTATAATTGAACATATGCCATCATATCAACCTTAAAAATCCATGCTGTAGCTGACAATCCATGGGGAGGGAATACTTGCTCACCTTTTGGGTTCATGGGCCCTGCCCTGTCCCATTTAGGGTTAATAAAGGGGGTCAGTGTAGGCAAAAATATTTAATTGAAAATTTCCAATTTATTTGTTGTACCGAGGATTGAATCCAGAGGCACTTTACCACTGAGCTACATCCCCAGGCATTTCTCTCTTTTTAATTTTGCTAAGCCAGCCTCTAATTTAGGTTCCTCCTGCCTCAGCCTCCTGAGTCACTGGGATTACAGGTGTGCACACCACCTGACTCCAACTTAATTTTATATAGAGTAACCTGAGTGTAAACTATAAAGAAAAAAAACAGCATAATCAAAGTGACTTACTATACAGAAAGGTTTTTTTTTTTTTTTGGTCTTTTGAATTTTCAGATTAGGGTTGATATTTTTATTAATTAATAATTAGCCCCTAAATTATAATATAAAACTATATAATTATAATATAATTACAATTAATTATAATTATATGTAATTGATCATTAAGTTAGAATTTATAATTGCCTTAATTAAGTTCATGGTTGATGCTATTTAATCTATGAAAAATAAGGTTCAGGAGAGCTACACCGCTTGGTGTGTGCCTGCCACCTAGTGGCAGGACACACTAACACTGCTGTAGAAATACTGGAGAGCTTGAAAGGTGAGGTGGGCCAGTTTGCCCCACTTTACAGTTTTACCAGTGTTTTGTGCCAATCAGTTCTATACTTAGACCTTTGAAATAATCTTTCATTCTACATAGTTTCATTCTAGTATAACTAAAAACATAAATCTATGGGGGACAAAACACATCTAAGCATTATTTCATCCACACATTTCCTGGAGACCCTCATCATTACACAAAATACATGTATAAAGATGTGAATTTGTTGTCAACATACCTTATATATAATCAGAGATAAAATAAATTATGGTATAATGGTGTATTAAGAATTGTAATGCAAATATATATATAAAAGACTGGTTCTGTTTTACATGTGTCCAGAAATAGGTGGTTTGGGTGTGTGATTCTTTTCCCAGAAAATATCTTGATTACTTATAAACATCCAAGCTAACACTAGTCACTGATGTCATAGATTACTGGCTTCTAAAGGAATTCCCCCTCCCTTCCTCCCGAAAAGTGATAGGAAAATAATCAGAGAGGATCTCTTTCAAAAGGAAGAAATAAATATCAAACAAGTAACTGAATGAAATCAATAAAGATAGGAGGTTTGGCTGGAAAGGTGAGATAAGGTTGGCATAGGCAGTATGAATGGAGGTCTGTGCTCCCTGAGACAAGGTGAATCTGTGGCTGCCTGGGTTTGGTTGGCATGCCATCTTGATTCATACTTGCAAGGAAGTAAATGAAAAATTTAATCCAGATCTGGAAGTAGGAGGACAATTTGGAGTACTAACCATAAAGTCATGATAAGATTTGAGGTTTGGGGACTGAAGAATCTAGGTTTTCTCATGGAAGCAGGATCTGATCATAGGAATTTGAAATTTTGAAAGCTGAATGATATTAATAAATTTGAGTGGACAGAGCATCCAGGCAGAAGCTTGGAGTTATGATCATCAGGACCTGGGTGGAACAGGCCTTTCTTCCCTTCTCAGGTGCTCTCTCCCCTCATCTTCTTTTCCTGGCTGCCTTGTTTCTCCTTCTCTCCCCTAGTGTTGCCCTCTCCCTTCTTTGCTGTGGCGGACTCCCTTTTTCATAAGTGGCCACATCAGTTCTAGTTACACACAAAACCCACAATTTCATGTAACTTCTAAATATCTAATTTAAAGTTGGTGAGTTGAAACTTGTTTCTCTCTCTAAAGAGTAATTCTCTAGTATAGCTTCTTAATTGTCACTTTCAAAAATATTTCCTGTTGATATAAAGTCCTAAAGAAGGGGAGAGGGAAAACCAAAGCTTATTCTTAAAAATAAAAGTAATCCTTCCACTCCAACAAAGTCTGGTATCTACAGGTTGGCTACTGACCAAAGAGCTTACATTTGTATGTGCATGTTTATGCCTAATTACAGACTATGTGAAGATAAATCCTGTCATTGTGTGGCAGAGACAGTTCTTCCTGCACTAGATTTATCTATCTATCTATCTATCTATCTATCTATCTATCTATTTATTTATGGGAATTGAACCCAGGGATACTTTACCACTGAGCCACATCCCCAGCACTTTTTATTATTCAATTTTGAGACAGGGTCTCACTAAGTTGCTGAGGCTAGCCTTGAACTTGTGATCCTCCTGTCTCAGGCATGGGCCATTGATGTCCCCCCCAACATTTTTTTAAAGATAATAATGAGTGCAGAATTCAGTTAATATTTGTATCCTTAAAAAAGTAAAAACTTGCAAAATATTCCATAAACATTAATATAAATATGAACAATTTAATACTATTTTGAGTGATAAAAAATGTGGCCTCCACCAATCTTAGTTACATATTCACATTCTTCCAAAAGGTTAAAAGATAGGACAACTATATAGAATGCCCTTCGGCTCACAACCTCAAGCCCGCATAAGATGAGGAACAGCACAGGACACTGAAGCATCCAGTATCTAAAGAGGCATAATATGCACTTTCTCCAGGGCTTTCAGTGTAAGAAACTTGTTTTTATACCTCAGGAGTCTCTACTGACTTTCACTTGACTGATTGTCAAGGTAGTTCAGTCCAGTTAGGGATTTTAATTCTTGTTAATCTCTTGTATTTATTTTGTACATGGCCTCATAGATGCCAAGCAGGTACTCTATCACTGAGCCTCACCCCTAACCTCCTTAGCCTACTCTAATTAGAAGCACAAAATTTTCTTTCCATAGGTAAAATTGAGGACTCAAGGAAAATTATATTTTTATACTTTTCTACCCTACAGAATGTCCAAAAAGAATATAAAGTGCTACAGAAAAACAGTGGGGTGAAGTATTTTTTATTTTGATGATTCGGGATCCTATAGAAATTTTCTATGCATTTTTGAATGGAAGTGAAGAGATTGTGTGAGAGCAATGTAGTAGCTATTTCAGTAGAGATTAGTTTACTGCTTAATTCAGTCACAAAAATTAATCACAAAAACAGGAGAGCTTAATTTGACTTAATTCCTGTAAATGAGAACCTTATACATGAATATAAAGTAATTTCATTCGATATGGTTGCTCTGTGGTGTAAATATACATATTCAATAGGTTAAGTAAAATTATGACCATTTCATATAATAATTACATTATCTAATTCAGATGCACTACATTGATTTAAGTGTTTTCCTGTGGAATCAGATGCGTTTATAATCGGATGAACCAGGAAAAAAGGAAACATCCTCAGAAGCATTTGTATTTTTTTTTCTGTTCATCCATCATAAACTCGGTAGGTTTGATTTAACTACCCTTAGGTGTCCTTCCAGCGTTTTAGGCAATCACTTTAGAAGCAGCTACATGCTAAATTTAGAATCGCCACAACAAAAGAAAACTTTGTAGTAACAAAAGGGTGGAGGAAAAGAGTGCCAGTAGGAACCATCAGGCTCTTGGGAAGGGGTACTGGTAATGGACACTCTAACAATCATGAAATAATTTAGCAAAAGAGTTAAAATACTCGGAGTAAATAACTTCCGTTACTAATTCCAGTGGTCTCTGGATTCTCAAACCAAAATGCTCTTTCCTGGCTTCACATCCCCTGACACACCCGAAGGAAGACCACTCTACAACCCCCTTTAGTGGTGCATTTCTGACACCACCACCACTCCCCAAAGAAAAAGAAAACATCCAGTCCGTGCAGTAGACAAAGTAATCTTTCTCACAGCCAAACAGTATTTTCACAAATCAAGAACCTGGCGCACCCTCTCTGTCCTCCACGTTTGCTGGCGCCCACTACTTGAATCGAGTATGTTCCAAGTAGGATGCAAGGACATTGGCCTCAGCGCCCACAGACCTTCTAGTGGCGCATTTATCGCGATGGGCCACCGGTCCCTACTAGCCCAGGGCAGGCGCAGAGGGTCTGCAGGGTCGCCCTTGTCTTCCCTTCCCCGCGCGCCTCCGACGCTAAGTGTAGCGGCTCCCGCGTCCCAACTTCCCCGAGAGGCGGGCGCCTGGGGAGGGTCACCCAGTGATCTAACCCCAACCCCCGGTGATCAAGGCCAAGGAGCCCCGGAGCTCCCACTTCCACCTGTTTACCCCGGAATTCAGGATCAAACCCGGAGGCAGTGGGGCCAAGGTGGGCAACTTCACTCCCTCCCCGGGTGCCTCTCAAGTACCCAGTGGCGAGAGGGCGCGCGGGTCGCGAAGGGCCCCCTGAGCGCAGCGGAGACGCCCGGAGTCCCCAGAAAGCCCGCCCGAGGGCGCAGCGGCCACGCCGAGGGAGGCGGCGAGGCGGGAGCGACGGGGCGGGGGCGGGGGCGGAGCGGAGCCTCCCGCCTCCTCCTCCTCCTCGGCCTCCTCCCCCTCGGCCTCCTCTCGCAGCCGCCGCCTCCGCCGGGCTGAGCAGCCGGGAGTCCGCGGCGCTGGCTCGTGGCTGCGCGATGGGGAGTTAGCGCCACGGCGGCGGCAGTGGCCGCAGCTCAACCGGCCGCCGCCCCCGGGCCCGTCCCGCCTGGGGCGCCGGGCGCGGCCAGCCCGCCCCGTAGCCAGGCCCGCGGGCGGCGGCGGCGGCAGAGCTGGGCAGGTGGATGCGGCTGGAAGATGGCGCCCTCGGGCCCGGGCAGCATCAGGCGGCGGTGCCGGCGGGTGCTCTACTGGATCCCGGTGGTCTTCATCAGCCTCCTGCTGGGCTGGTCCTACTACGCCTACGCCGTCCAGCTGTGCATAGGTGAGTGCGCGCCTCTGGCGCTGGCCAGCACTCTGGCCCACCCCCGGCCCTGGAGGGAGGGCACCAGCCTGCCCACAGCCTCTCCGTTCTTCCCTCACCCCTCGCGGCCCATCGTGACAGTCCCGGGACTCCGGGAGCCCAGCCCACTCAGCCGCACTTCCACTCTCCCCACCCGGTCTCCCCTGCGCCCCGGGAGCTGGGACTAGCAGCATCTCCACTGACACCGAGGCCCTAAACAGCCTCCGGGCAACCTTCTAACACTGGCTTTACGCTCGCCTTCCCCTTACAACCTTGGGGTTACCGGGTCACCTCCTCCCCAGGCACACGCAGCCCAGCACCCCTACTGCCTTCCCTAAGCACCGCCATTCCAGCCACACCCCCTACGTGGGTAGGACTGTATCAGCAACAACTGTGGGCTCAGCTGCCCGCAGCCTCCTCCAAGAAGTGAGGCCGGGAGGTTACACTAGAGGCTGGAGGGCTCCAAGCTGGGCCCCGGATCCTAGCTGCGCCTAACCCATGCAGGGATGGCCTCTGGTGGCAGGTCCTTTGCTGGTTGTCATGAATCCACTTTTTAAAAAATTTGTGACAGCGCTCAAGGGCGTTTTAGCTGCCTTTATGATTTGAGAATTGTCAGTTGGATACTTTCTAGTTAAGAAGAGTTGGAGGGGGATGAGCTGCTAAAAAGTATTTTTGAAGACATGCAATACACAGGACCATTACTTCGAAATGAGGATAATGGGGATGGGGAAATCATGTGAGGTTTTGATATCAGCAGAGTCAAATGGCTCCAGGCCAAGTTTGAGGCTCCTGAATTGGTGGGTAGGGTACTTTCAATGGGAAGACTTTTTTTTTTTTTTTTTTTTCTTAAGTTGGTTATGCACAAGCAGGAAATGCAGTTATGCTGGCTTCTACCTTCAGAGGTTTTGTAAAAGCTGGTCTGGGTTATCGGAAAAAATAAAATGTTAAAACAGAAGGCAGTCTTTCTGCCAGTAACTTGTGGATGCTTTCTGTGTCTACTGTTCCTCCTAGCAAAGTGTTTTTGCTCTATAAGCATTAGTGTTGGGTGGAAGAGAGGAAAAGATTAGATAATACCCTATTTAGTAGCATTTAAGCATTTTTAAAGGTTTAAGGCTGAGACGTTAGATTCTAACCTCAAAATGTTATCGCTGTGAGAAATAGGGTCCGAATAATACACCAAAATAATTGCTGACATAACTTTTAAGAGAATTGAGACTAGCTTCCCATTTTATATAGTTTTTAATAGTTTTGAAATCTGCACTTAGTACTTTGTTTACTAGCTTTAAAAACAATCTTAATCCAAAAAGTAAAAAAGTGAGACTACAAAAATAAAAAAGAAAAAAAGATTGGGCTGTACTGACATCTTCATGACAATTCTTCTGGATATGTGGTATTCCAATCATGTATAATGTATAGAAAGAAAGTGAGGAAAAAGCATTGCATTTTATATTAATAGTTAATATTAAAATAGCTTGCCTTATTGCTATACACTCTGTATGTTATATAACCACTAGGAATCTTTGCTGTATTTTATTCCTTCACCTTGTAGAAACAGTAAAAATATCAATTAGTTGGTGTACAGGAGGAAAGTCCTAGAAGGCCTTCTTTTTCAAAACAGGCAGCTTATTTTCCTGTATTATCACATTAGGCTAAGAAGCTTAGCCTGGCACAGTGTCGTGTCCATCAGGAGGAAACATTTGAAGGCAGAAAGAGCTTTTCTTCTCTAACAGGTACCAGATGCAACATGGGAGGTCTTGCTGTATTGGATAGACTAGTGATGGGTGAGGAATTACTGTTATATATGAGCCATATTTTTATATATACTTTATGTTTAAGACAAACTTAAAGTAACATAAAATCCACATCACTATTTTCATAATTGACATTTTGATTAAGAAGGAAAATGCCTCTTTTTATACTACCTAAGTGAAGGTCTGTCATTGATACTTGACCTAGTGATCCTAAGTCTCTTACCCCTGCTCGTGACTGCCTACTTGGCTTGGCACAAATGCCTCCCAGAGTGAAAGCAATCAATAAATGATCTTGATCCCAGTACCAGGAAAAATAAACAAATGATCTTGAATAAACAAACAAAGGATTCTGAGGCAATATCCCCTAGGTTGTCAGAAAGTAGTTTTTACATTTTTATTGCCATAGAAACACAAAAGGAAGTAATCATAAAAAGTCTAGATCCTAGGGTCTGGAAGACAGATAAATTGAAGCTGTATTTGATTCTAGAAACTATGGCAGTTTAGGAATGGTAAACCCAAAAGTCTTGCATGCCTTGGTTGGGTGTGAAATTGAGATTAACTGTATAATTCTTTTCTAGGCATTGGGAAAGATGGCAACTAGATTGATGCACAAAACCAGCCTCTGCTGCTTTTCACAAACAAAGAAAATGGAATGCCAGCTCCCACCCCCACTCCCAGCATTAATCACATCTTATTTTGCCCTGTCCTTTGTGGAGTTTTTCCCCTCTTGGAAATTGCTATTTATAGTCATATTTTTAAATTTTTCTCATATAAAACATTGGCCAGGGTTGGGACCAGAGGCAGGTGGGTCAGGGGCTGGAAAATAGAGGAGGTCTCAAACAAACAAGGTGATTTACCCTGGTCCTTCCTTTCACATCTGCTGTCAGCTAGAGATGACCCTGAATATAAATTGCTGTGTGCCCTTTGCTGAGTGAACTGCAATTTAGGAGTAGTGCTTATCCTGGTATCCTTGGAAACTGGAGATAATGATTCCTCATTACAGTTAGTTTCTATATTTAACTGTGTGCATGTGTGTGGCTCTCTAGGCACTTTTTCAGTTAGCATATTTTTTTTCTTCATGTTTGTATTGTATAAAAATAACTCTTATCTTTTTGGAATATGTGTATATGTAAAATATGTGGGATATACTGATAGTGTGACAGTCAAGTGTTTCAAGTATCCCTGGCTTCTTTTTTGTCTTACTTATCTTTAATTCCTTTAATTATTAGCTGTCTTGTTTGCCATACAATAAATTCAAAGGGAAAAATTTGTAAGGTGGTACTTCAAGACACAGAACTAGTGGAGCAAGGGTGATTCATAGCCTCAGATATGCCTGATTTGGTGGACACACTGAACCCCGTTTATATGTTTATATGTGGTAGTTATTAGTTTAACTTTGCTCGTTGTAGAAGGTAATTGAAGTTTTCATTTTAAATGCTAACATTTAAATTGTTGTGATTATTTTTAAACTTTCATTCTGTTATAATTTCAAATTTACTAAAAACTTGCTAGAGTATTATAATAACTGCCACATATTCTCATGTAACAATTTTGGTTTCCATTTTTTCTATAGTGTATTACTTCTCTGCTCTCTTTATGGGCAGGTGCTAGGAGACATTGACTGTTGTGTTGTGTACTCACATTTCCATGTTTGCTTATGCTTTTACTTAAGTAATTTTTACAAAATCATGAAGAACGACAAGTTCCGAGGTCATCTAGGCCAACCTCTTCCTGTATCATGGATGAAGCAGTTTAATGTTCAAAGTTGCTACAAGTTATGTCCTGTTCCCAAGTTACCCAGTGAAGGTGTCAGCTGTGACTTTCACTGCTGTGGCACACATATCAAAATGTCTCCCTTCTTACCAAACGCCTCACCAAATATCCTAACCCAGTGAATTTGTATAGCAGGTCTTTTTAATACTCTTGTTGTTGTTTAGTAAGGATTAACACAGCTCTGAAAATAGCTAATAGCCTTTATACAATGATTTCAGAGTTTTAGAAGGCTATATAGTTTGGGCCAAAGAGTGAATATTTCTGGCTTTGCTAGCCATGTGGTAGAGAGCAGCCATAGAAAATACTTAACAAATTGGCCGTGGTTGTGTTCCAGTAAAACTTTATTGACAAAAATAGTTGGCAAATCAGATATTTGCCGACTTTTGCGGTATGTTAGAAGTTATACCATTAGAGCATTGAGGCTTTAACTCATTAGCAAAATGGTCTTTCTTAATAAACATTCCTCAACAATGATTGCAATTTCTTATATTGTACACATTACTGGAGATATTTAAGAATTAAAAGAAGTAATCCACAAACTTAAGAATCAGTTTGGGGTATATATAATTGTGTTTTCTATTTTTCATGCAAACAAATATCTCTGAGGATAAAATATATAAAACCTTATATTCTATTAAGCTGTGATCTACCATTAACTCAAGGCCATTGCAAGTTCAAAGATGGAGATTGAAGGGTCTCTAAAGTGCCTTCCAGCAGGAAATGAATTCGAGCCATGCAGAAAGGAACATTATTATTATTTGTAAATTATCACTTTATAAACTATGTAGGACATTAAGGCTTTTTTCTTTATTTTTTTAAGAGCAGACAGATGACCTTGGGAATATAGATGTTACTATCTATATGTAGTAAAATAATTTAAAATTAAACAGAAGGCACATACATAGAAAAATGATGCATATAAAACATTTGATTCCTAAGTTCTTTTAAGCATGATTTCTTATTGGCAATAGCATTGCCAAATACATATATTCTGTGATTTTTCTTGATATTGTTAAATATTTTAAAAGTTGAAGTTTATTAACCAAGGGTTTAAAATCTCAACATTTCTTCAAATCTAAAATTCAAATGTGCAACCTAAGATATGTTCCAAATTCTTGATCTATACTACATTTGACATTAATATAAATGGTTCAGGGGGAGGGAGGGACATAGGAGAAAAGATGCTACTTAAATTTTTCTTGGTTCCATTTAGTGTGTCATCAAATTATTTTTCTTTTGCTGTACTAGACAAGACATCATTACTGTTTAACTTCTATTAGAGATAATTTATATAAAGCAATTACCTTAGACTTAGCATGTAGGGATGCTCAGCAAATGTTAAATAAATTAATTTTTTTGTGAATTTTTTTTACTTACTTTTATTTAACCTCTTTGGAGTATGAGAACATCCAGTTACATGGTGGAAATAAATAGAGAATCAGATCTTGCTGTCAGAAC